AAATAACCTTAACAAATTCCTGAGCAAATTTTACATTTCTTACAACAGCTTCACCAATTTTAAATTTTGGATAATGCACTTTAACCTGGGGAACTCCATTAACCTCTTGATTATCCCCGTCCAAATTGCTGTTGAAATGAGTTACAGCAAGGATATGCCTTCATGAAATATAAAATTGCATTCAATTTCTCGAAAGAGTTTAAATTGGCACAAGGGAATAAAAACTGTAATGACACATAGGTGTTTCATCACACATGTTTCATAGAATACCTTCAGAACATTTCAGGAAAGGAGTAGCTGATCATTCTAATAATACAGGCTCATCACAAGTTTTTTCTTCTATTTGCTCTTGAGGTTCGCTACTTGTACTGGGAATATTTTCTGATTCAACCCCTCCTTTATAATCAGACATCCACTTTCTTTTCATCTAAAATGGCATATATTTATAAAATATACCCTCACATAGATTGCAGGTAAAATGTAGATATGCATATGTATAATTTTTAACGTACTCACCATTCTGCAATCTCTTGTTGTAAGTTGATTGTCATCTTTTCGAGGATAAATGCTCGGGTAAGCAACGATTCCGACTTCGTCTCGAACGAGTCGAGGTGCAAAATTACTTTCTGATTCAGAAAGCGAGCCGAATTGCCGAGAAAACGAATCTTTTGTGAAGTGTTCCTAGCCAACTGTTGAATTCTTTGTGGGGACCCACTTATCGCGAGTAGCTTTCACAAAGTTGACCCATCGCTTTCTCCTACGCTTAGCTTCGCTTCTTTCGTCGTTAAAAAATGGTATGCGATGAAGTGAAATGCCTTTCTCCGAGCTGGCTACGTTAGAACAACCAAAAACTACACATCGACTGGCATTTTTTGTTTGTTTACATGTATGAACAGTGTAAGTTGTAATGGTAGTCAGTCTGTGTTCCTTAAATGACGTCAAAAGTAAGTCCCATGCCACAGATTAGAGCTCTCGACATTTTTTACAAAGCGTTGAAATTCAGGTTTTATTCGCATCTTTGCCGAAAGATAACTCAGAAACAGAAAGAGTTATTCAAATTCTGTAAACGGTATTTGCATTATTTATCCAAAATCTATTTGGGAATAAAAAGCTAAAAATAGTTGTATGTGCACTTTAAGGAAAACGTTAAACGTAATTTGATTACTAAGAAAGAGACGTCTCTGGGGTTCATTGTTATTTTATCTCACTAGTGCCAATCTTTTTTTCATACAAGTTTTAACAATTACGTATTGCTGCTGTCACGGAATATGGAAATTACAGAATGGTCACTTGTGGCGGAGCCTTTGATGTTCTTTGATGTTCTTGTCCTTGCAAAGGTTGAACCACGCATATCGGCCACCATATATCCAGGAATTTGATGAGTGTTTTTCAAACAAGTGACAAATTCTCATCAACCACTGAAGCATCCATGTACAAAATATAGTAGAAAAATTGATGTTGGAAGTTGACTCATTTGCTTATGACGATCTTCATCCACAAACATGCTACGATACTTCCGGGTTCAAACCATTTACTTTATTATGATTATTTGGACGACGAAGCGAACAACTTACTAACGACTACATACGTTTTGCAAGCAACGTCAGGATGATGACTAATCTAACAGGAGCACTTTTGAACAACAGGATACCCTATTGTCTTTAGATTACACACAAGCTAATCTGTTGGAGAAACCACCTCGCACTGTGCAACGGCATTTTGCATTGCACTGGTATTTTGTATTTTTGCACTGATACTAGGGAAAATTTATACTGCTCTTAACCAATCAGAATTAAGACATTTTTTCATGTGTATCATTACACTGTAAATAAACCATCCAGGCTGACCATTAAAATGAGTATAACTGGAACGCTACCTAAACAATCTGAACGTAGCTTTCTAGTTGTATTAATTTCACTGAGGCTCACTGACCTGTATAGTAATTACCTGAAAACCTCATCAAAATTATTATATTTTATCAAGCGCAGCATGTTGCCAAAAATATGGATGCCGCCATAGCCTTATATGGCAAATTTTTAGTAAAAATTTCTGCGGAGTTAGACAGGTTCATTTTTTAGAAACTTTTTCTATCCTTCAGATTTCACCCAAGAATTCAATAGTCAAGATTATAAAAAAAATAACATTCTGACAACTTGTGGTAAAGGAATGGAGAAGTAGTGAAGAAAAGAAAACATTTCATGACTCTACTAAGGCAAATAATTTTGCCTGTCAATCACAATGTTAAGCATTTTTTAAGAGCAAATTATTTTCGAAATAAGGGTATCTTGCATCAAACAAAACACACTGTGAGTATGATTAGCTAAGTTTTGCATTGTCTTACCTGACAAAAAATAAACACACACTTGTTTTACTTCCAAGTTAAACAAGATTCCCTTAGGATGCATTGGTTGCAATGAAATAGACTGCACAAGATGCAAAAATCTGTTTGTCCAGTGAAGATGATGTGGAAATAAATAAAATGATTAATACAAATAAATTTGAAATTATAAATTGCAGAGTCCCTTAAACCTGCATCAAGTCTAGAGTTATTTTAGAACAATTTAGCGTGATTTATGGAATTTATTGATTTTATTTTGTTGTTGAAGAGTTGAAAATTGGGGATGAATATTTTCCATCCATTTTCAACAATTGATATATTGCAAGTATTTCCTTTTTGAACAGCAATTGCCTCTCCCTCAATGGTCTCACCGCCTTCCCAATTTCTCTGCAAATGCTCCTCTATCAAAAATATATCAAAAATATATATATTTAACTTCCCACAAATAAAATTATTTCAACTTTTCAACTCAATGAAACAAATTTCAAAGGAAGGATCGGTGAATGTTTAGGTTAACTTGTGCAAACCAGTCGCCCTATGAAAGTGTTTTTGTTGATTTTTAGTTTCTTTAAACCAATTATTTTGTCCAAATTTGATTCTTAACATATTAAACAATGCCAAAACATCACATGCAATGCACCATATTTATGAAACTTAAATATCTTTATTGACATTGCTATTTGCTTCATGCCGCATGAAGCAATGATATATGTCAGAGAAACCAATACATTTCAATTACAAAAGTCTTAGTTTCCAAATATAATACAAAGTTGCTCAAAATAGTTAAAAATCCATTAGTAACATCCTGGCTAAAATTATATATAGATTTATAATCAAAAATAGCATTATATCATAATATTTTGAGTTCTGTTCGTATATCTCAGCAACTGCAAGCTCAATTTGTTGTTTTATCTTGTAATCAATAGAACTGCCAGAATTAATGCATAACATTTGCAAGTATCCTGCCAAGCAGTGCTTACTCAAAATTCAATGACAGCATATTAAGCCAAGATTCAACTAGCAGTTTACTTGCCATAGGACATTTTGTCATGCCTTTATGTCGATTTAATGAATAAAGATAGTTGTAATAAGATTGAACTCAATACATTCACTGTATCAAGTCTGATAACGAATGCCGTCTTGTGCTTTTTTTTTCATTAAATTTGTCGTGTAAGAAAAGCAAAAGTGTCTCTAGTATGAATTTAAGCTAGACTGTAGTTTAGCAGACACCCGAAGGCCTTACATGCGGAGCGCGGGCTCGTTTTATTTTGGGGTTATAGGTTAGGGTTTGGTTCAGCGTGTAGGGTATCCGCTAAACTGCAGTAGTCTCTAAATTTTCTACTTATTATTCCATATAACGCTAATGCATACCTTTCAATCAAGAACGTTAAGGATTTATTTCATTATTGGGATTTTTTCACTGGTTGTGTTCTGTATTGAAACAGAATTCAGAAGTTGAAGTTTTTCACCCAAAATTTCTTTTGGCATCCATGTTTTTGACAACAATCTCAATCTCCTTTTTACGTCCAGGTAATTTAATAGAACTCAACGTCTAGGCTGGCAGCAAATAAGTAAAAGCCCGAGACTGAAAATCGATGATTGCACATGTTTGAGAGCTCTTACTTTCTTTGATTGATTGATTATTTGATTGCTTAAGCTTATACAGGCAACACACAGCTTTACACCAATCAGCGAACGCGTTTATTGTTTTTCTTTTTTAATGAAGATGATCTATTGGTAGCTATACGTGATCATAATTACTTTTCTTCTGTCATTCTGGTACATATATTTTTAGCTTAATATAGTTATTCAGTATAAAGAAAATTCTGAAAGAGCAAGACATCTTGAGATTGCAAAATCTTTGTCATATCTCGTCTTGTTTTTATGCAAATTTTGCAATCTCAAGATGTCTTGCTTTTTCAGAATTTGCTTTATACTATATTTCTTTAAATTGTCGGCCGGTCATGGTTCTCTAGTTATTCAGTGTGTAAATAAACCATTACCATTTTATTTGGCTGCTAAGGACTGTAAAATATATTTTTAGGAATTTTATTTCGGTGGTTTAGTAACTGTTTCAAACTGGATGATTTCATAAGTCGAGAAGTGACTTCAAAAATATTTCTCCCTTATATTTCTCCAAAGCTACTTAATTTATAACCAGCTACAACATGCATAATTTACACCACTCATATATATCTACGTCAGGTATTGTTATTATCTTATTATTATACAGCTATTGCTACATCCCTTCTCTTTTATTTGATTTTTTGTATATGTATATATTTATTCTCCTATTTGTTTACTTACGCTACCCCTAAATAATCTGGTTTCCGTACAATTCTTCCAGATCGCGTAGTCGTTTGAAGTTGGAGTTTGAATATTCGTTGAAGTTTTCGGTCGTTTTGGCGAAGATGTCACCGATTTCTTCGGAACACCGATCCATTCTGTGTTTTTTTTCTCAAAAAGACCGGTGTCCTTCTTCACCCATTACTCGTGCTTGGTCAGCCTCTTCGCTCTTGTTATTCTTTGCAACAATTCTCACAGTATCTCCAACCAATAATCTACTCAAGTCCTTCCTCTTTCGTTGTAATACTCAATTTTCTTTCTTTTTTTTGAAGTATCTTCTAGTGAATATCCTTGTCGACAACAGGGACTATTAACGTCAAAAAAGGTCGGAATATTGACGGCTTATCAAACGCACAACTGGACTGCTATTTAACCCATGTGTTGGGGTATTCCTGTATTCAAGAAGAGCCACAGAGGGATCTCTTCTTGCCTTCTTTGCTTTCTTCATGAGCATCTTTGCCGACTTGACAGTGGCTTCCATCTTCCCATTGCTCCGTGGGTATGTAGGTGAACTCGTTACATGATGGATATTCCATTTCTGGCAGAATTCCTTAAAATCTCCTAAAGAAAATAGAGGACCATTGTCCGACATAACTACTTCAGGTATCCCATACCGTGCAGACTGTGCTTTTAACTTCCTGTTTACGGTTTCCGATAACGTGCTCTCTAAAAGATCAACTTCCCAGAACGATGAATAGTAATCGACACAAATAAGATACTGACACTCATTATAGGTAAAAAGATCAGTTTCCACCTTCGTCAACGGACGATGAGGAATATCGTGTTGGACAAAAATTTCTTTCGGCTGCTGTTTGTCCAACGATCTGCATACATTAAATAGTTCTATAAACTGGCGAACTTCCTTGCTGATACCTGGCCAATATGTGGACTCTCTTGCTCTTGCCAACGTACTTACGATCTCACTATGAGCATAATCTATGCATTGTATCATCTCTTTCCTGAGTGATGATGAGATTATTAATCTCTCTCCTCGAGCAATAACTCCATCCTTACAACTAAGTTCGTCTCGGATCTCAGACTATGGTAAAATTTAATGTTTTTCCCTGTTTAAAAATGGAAATGCTACAGATCCAGATAATTATCGACCTATTTCTACGCTACCGATAATTTCCAAAGTTCTTGAACGTCATGTTCTCGAATTTTAATCCAACGACATGTTTTATGTTCTTCAATCTGGCTTGAGAAATGGCTATTCTACTGAAACAGCTCTTATTAAAATTGTTGATCAGATATTATCTGATCTTGATAATGACAATCCTAGTGGCTTGCTGTTTGGTGATTTTAAAAAAGCATTTGATATGGTGAATCATAAACTACTTTTGGGTAAACTTAAAGCCTGTGGTCTTAGTACTAATTCCCTTAAAGTGGTTATATCACGAATTTTAGCCCCCCTCTTTTATGAGCTTAATTGAAAATTTGGATTATTTGAAGAACTATGACATGTCGCTGGACTTAAACAGATAAATATAAGTTGCTTATTTTTGCCTCCAAAGTCGGGTACTATTTGCGAATTTTTTACGACGCCATATTGATACTTGTGACGCAGATAGTTGAACACGTCTGTTTCCGTCAGTATAATATTATATTATAGAAGGTGATTTTGTTGTCGTTTTTCTTGTCTTAAAAACAAATAATGACAGTATTTTCAATAAAATATTAAAAAACAAGTTGTCCGGAAAGTATGGCCTCAAATCAGTGCTCAGATAATTCGAATTCGATGTCTGAATGCGTATCTGATTCGAGCTCGAAATCCGTGGGTTATGTCGAGCATTTAAACGACTTCGCATATGACGATGAAATGCTAGCAGATGGTGATGAAGTGCATACTCCAGATGATCCCGATGGAATTCTCCCTGCGACATTAGAACAACGAAGTGATGGCGTAATTCCACTTGGTGAATGGTAAGTTGTTGTTTTCTCCTGTTTGTAATATACATAAAGTTACTTTATAAACCACAATGCTCCCACATTTCAGGTGTAATTGTCAATGCTGTCACACCGATTTGTTAGAAGGCGCATTAGAGTACAGATGCTGTAAGGAAATTGGACCAGCTTTGCAGAAAATGACATTCGATGGCAGCATTGAGAAAATATCATGCATAACACAGCATGCCAAATTTGGGCCTTTAGTTCATGAGGCTGTCCTTGAAAACGTCGGGCCACTATTGAGAGATAGGAATGGACGTGCTTATCGCCACCAAGCATCACAATCATTAAATATGTAAGATTGTAAATTGTATGAGAAACAATGTTATAATCAACATTGCTTCATCAACAATAATTAGTCCAAACTTTTTATTTACTTCAGGTACTTGAGAGCTGTGTCATACAGATGGTTGATGCGATGGTTTTGTGGGTCTATGGGATGGGAGAATACTCGGCCTTTACCTGCTTGTGTTTACCACTTTATTCGGAAAGCATATCCAAGTGGTAACACAACAGGTTACATACCATCAGAGGGGCGATGATGGAATAGTCTTTTAACTTGTGCACTGTAGAGACTACTGACCTTCTTTGCTGAGTTTGGAATGGTCAGGAAATATGCCTAGATGAAAACCAAATAGGAGATACATGGATGCACTATATAAGTTGACATGCAGTTTAATGGTTTGAAACAAGAGTAAACAATAAAAACAAATTGGTGCAACTACAGAGAGGTTAAGCTGAAAGAATTAAATGAAAGAATATCTTTTCTTCAATGTCAGTCTGGGAAAAAGACAAAAGAAAAATACATGGAATTAAATCATAGCATAAATGTAAAATGGAAAATAGCAAGCCGTTCAAATGGCGAATCGTTTGCTTCCCAGTGCATACTTAAACATGCTCAGCTTCATCACTAGTAGATGGTACTTCCTCATTGAGAGAACATGTTTCCTTCAGCGATGGCTTATGGAGAGTATGTCGAATAATCTACAAAACTTATATCGAATTTACATATGACAAAAGAAAAATTAACATAAACAAGCGTAAACTTACTTGTCTTCGCTTTCGCTCGGTTATTTCGTCCTGTAATGGTTCAGGAATCCCAGCCACGCCAATGGTTGGGAAAGCATCTTTCTTCAACCTTCTTTTGAGCTTGACTTGCACGCTCAAATTAAGGTCAAAACAAGAATCTTCAAAATGCGCAGAACACAGACACGAGGTAGAGGAAGCCTCAAAACCCGGTCTATGTTTACGCACAAAATTTACCCATTTTCTATGTCTTTGCGGCTCTGTTTCTTTTTTAGGAAACAGATGCAACGACATTCCTTCGGTTTTTGAATCATTGGCGCAACTAATTTCATTAGGTCCGCCAGCAACACAGCGTTTTCCTCCGCGTTTTTTATTAAGATTACTAGTAGAATACGCCATGTTGATATATGTGTTCAACTTTCTACGTCACAAGTCATTAGCATACCGATCAAAAAGTTCGCAAAAAAAATGCTGAAAATCGTGACTTTGAACGTCCGTAAAATCACTTTCACCAATCCAATTTCAATTATAATTGCAGATTTAAAATCACTGAAACAAGGTCTTTAGATTTAGCTAATAAAAAAGGGGGGCTAAAATTCGTGATATAACCACTTTAAATGGTTCAACTCATATTTGTCAAACAGGTATCAATACGTGTCAGTGAATGGCGTCTCCTCTGCTACAACTATTATTGATCGTGCTGTACCGCAGGGTTCAGTCTTGGGCCCCTTTTTGTTTATCATATTTATTAACGATTTGCCTAAATCAATAAAAAACACCTCAATGAATATTTTTGCTGACGATACCACTCTTGTTAAATCTAATCATTATTCAGATGTTTCCTCTATTGAACGCATATTACAAGAGGATACAACTAATTCGAACTCATGGGCAAATAAAAATTTAATGGTGCTTAGCTCTACAAAATCAAAAACTATGCTTATCACTGGATAAAGAATTGCAAAGAAACTGGTAAATTCATCTACATTATTGTGTGTTCATATTAATGGCAATATGTTAGAGCAGGTTTCCCACCAGAAGCTTCTGGGAATCATTTTAGATGAAGACCTAAGCTTCAAATCAGTTAAAAATTGTTCGAAGGATTCGTTTATGCCTTGTAGTCTAGAGAAGAATCTGTATCTTTTAACCGTCTCATTTCTTTTTGGGTTGCAATAACTATCAAATGCAGCAGTTATTTGCACTAAAGTTCTTTCTTCGGTGGGAGTTTCAAACTGCATAGTCTCAAAGATTTCACGCACTTTGCTCCCTATAAGATAAAGAAATACCTTTATCTTCATTTGTTAGCTTTTGCCATCCATAGACAAATCCATGCACAATTCTATTTCTTCTTTCCAACTAACTGTAACGGTGGTTTCAATTGCATCACTCTTTCACGTGATGCTCACTCTGTGGAATCTCCTGATCTGGGATCCTGTCTTTACCTCTTGTCAACTCTTTCTTGGCTTTCTACTTAATCGTTGCCACCATATTTTCAAATGGATAATTTCATAACTCGAGAAGTGACTTTCCCCCTTTTATTTCTCCAAAGCTACTTAATTTATAACCAGCTAAAACATGCATATATTATACCACTAATATATACCTACGTCAGCTATTGTTATTATCTTATTATTTTGAAAGCCGCCGTACCTTATATGGACCATTTTAATTGAAAATGTCAGCAGAAGGCGACAGGCTCGTGATTTAAAAACTTTTCCTTCCCTTCGGATTTTTAACCAGCTTTCATCTACGATTATAGAGAATATTTTATTTTATTGAACTTTTATTATATCAGTGAAAGTTTGACCGCATTATGTAAAATCCTGATATTGGATCACCAATTTTTTCTATAAAAACTATTATTACAAACTCGTTTTTAATATTTCACCAATAAAAATGCTGCAAACACTTATGTGGTATACAGATGCCGAAGTTGTGCAAGAAAATTATGATATCGGTTTATCAATTATCATTTGTCGTTCAAAATTCAAAGTTTTGATTTTCCTATGTTTTACTATACTTGAGGTGTGATAACACCTATTTTTTTAGTACTAAGTTTTTTTCTATGAGTTGTTTGTCCATACATTTTTCTTGTTTACCTAATTTTTTTTAGACACTGTTTATGCTGCAAAGATTCCAATTCATTTTGAAATGTATATTTGGGAAGGCATATCCTGTATCAAACGAACCCCCCTACTATGAATCGTGTTTACCCCCCAAATAGAGTAGGACTTGTTTTTCTAAAAATGTGATAAAATGTTACGAATAGAGTTGTAATATCATATGCATTGTCAACAATATTGAATAACACTATTGCCAGACTGTAAACAAAGATAATGGGGGAGGGTTTGCTTCATGCTGCCACTCTTATAAATGCTGCTCATGCATTGTACAGTAAACTAGTTTATGTATACATCAATACCTACATATAAAACTGCTTTGTATAACATAAAGATAAGACTTGCTCCTAAGATTGTACTTTTTATTCAAGTAAAGCTTACGACTTTGTGCATGTTAAATTTTAGTTTAGCATTTCTTCGTCTTACAACAATCCACACTTGGTACTATTTCTGGTGACTCAGGAGTCCCATGGGATGCATTAGTGTAGTTGCTATGAAGTTAAAGGCAAAAGAAAGAAATGGGATGAAGAATAACTTTTATGTGTGTGATAAAGATGAAGTAAAATAGAGTAAAATAGAATAAAGAAAGTGGACAATATAAAATTGAAATTCAAAATATCTTACACCTAGCCTTAAACAGATATTCAAAATAGAATCGTCCAATAACCAATGGGTTATTGTTAGTTGTCCACACTTTCACAAAGTTAACCCTGCCACTGTATACATCCAGCCTATTGGGATATAAACGTATTATTAGAGTAATATGATACCGGAACTTTATATCTATAATGATGATACATGATTGGATAATTGATCATGGACTTTGGCACTAACACTTATGTTTATATTAAGTTCTTTGTCTTGTTGACATCCTATCTGATTAGTATTCTTATTCTGTTCTATTGCACTGCACGTTGTATTTGGTTATGTTATATTGAAATGGTTACTTAAACATTATAATTCTAATAGGTTATGGGCCCAGGACGCAAACTGTCCTACTTAAGTTAAGCAATTTAAAAGTTAAGCAATGTCTTTTTCGGATAGCGCTCTTAAGTTCGCAAAATTGAATGGCACGAACTACCGGTCATGGGCTTTCAATATGCGGTTATATTTGGAAAGCATGGACTTGTTTGAATTCACCGAAGGTAGTGCGATTGCTCCTAACGACGATGCCGGTGCTGATGTTCGAAGGAGAATCAATTCCTCCGCGAAAAAAGCATGGACGTATATTTGCTTGGCTATCGATCTATTTGCTTGGCTATCGAACCTTGGCTATCAGCAAGTGCACGTGAGAGAAACGGTAATGGCAAAGGAAGCATGGGACGCTTTGAAAAGTCAATTTGCCAGGGAATCATTACTTCAAAAGGTTCGTCTTCGCCAGCAATATTATTCGTCAAAATTTCATGTTGGAGGCAATATGTTGGAGCATATAAACATAAAATCATTACACGATCAACTAAAAGAAATGGGCGCAAGTATCGATGATAAGGAACTGGCAATGACCCTGTTGGCTAGTTTGCCAGATAAATGTAAGCCATTAATAACGGCATTGATGCTGTTGGTGATAATGAACTTTCTTATGAGAAAGTGAAAAACATGATACTAAATGATGAAGACAGAGCCAAAGATTCCGAGACCAGAAAAGAGGATGCATTTTCCGTGCAACGTAACAAGTTTCGAGGTGGGAAACAACGTAGTGGTCAGAATGAGAACATTTTTAATCGAAAGAAAGGCTTTCGTGGCAAGTGTTTCATTTGTAACGAGAAAGGGCATCTAGCAAAAGACTGTCCTCAGAAGAAGACGAAGCAGTTTCCAAACAGTGGCAACTCTTCAATCAATAAGGGAAACAAGTCTGCTCAGCTTGCAGAAAACGAAGAAAATAGCGAGACCGATAATGGTGATGCGTTGATTTCAAATTCATCAAGTATTACAAGAAATTCAGATTGGATTATCGACTCCGGCGCAACGCAGCACATGACTTACGATTTGGAAGGCTTATGCAATTACATAGAATTTAAGCAACCGTGTGTAGTAAACCTTGGAGATAACCGCTCTATTTTAGCGTACGGCAAAGGAACTTATAAGGTAAAAGCTATTCTTTGCGACGGAAACAAAAACATCTCTTTGCAGGATGTATTGTATTTACCTGACATAAATAGAAATTTATTATCTGTTCGAGCGATGGTAAGACTTGGAGCTATTGTTACTTTCGAAAACGATGTTTGTAACATTCGACGAAATTCAAAACTGTTAGCAGTTGGAGAACTACAAGGAAACCTGTACATTTTGAAAATTGTGGAGCATTATATGAATGTTGCAAAAGAGCAAAGCTTTGATTCAGATTTGAATTTATGGCATTGCAGATTGAGACATCTTGGAATAAACAATGTAATGAAACTCGTCGAGAATGATATGGTCGATGGAATAGGCAATGTAACAGGTGAAAATCAGTTTGTGAAGCTTGTGTGTTGGGAAAACAGCATCGTTGCTCTTTTCCAAAAGGCGTTTCACAACGAGCTAAGGAACCGTTCGAAATTATACATAGTGATGTATGCGGATCGATACAAGAGAATTCCATTGGTGGATCTCGATATTATGTCTCCTTTATCGATGACTACATCGATGACTACAACGATGACTACAAGTTTTGGAATAATTCAAAGAGTTTTTCAACTATGCAAAGAATATCTCTGGTAAGCAAGTTAAGATTATACGCACAGACAACAGTGGTGAGTATCAATCAAAAGAATTTGAGTCGTTTTTAAAGGACAATAGTATCACACATCAAACAACTGTTCCGTATAACCCAGAGCAAAACGGAGTTTCAGAACGCATGAATCGTACGATAATGGAATCGGCAAGAAGTATGTTGATGCACTCACGTCTACCCAATAAATTTTGGGTGAAGCTGTAAATACAGCAACTTACATTCGAAATAGAAGTCCAACAATTGCTTTGGACGGTATAACTCCTTATCAGTGTCTATTTGGGATAAAACCTGATGTAAGTAATCTGAAAGTGTTTGGCTGCATAACATATATGCACATTCCTAAAGAGCAAAGGAAAAAGTTGGATGTAAAATCTCTCAAGACGATTTTCATGGGTTATCCTGATGGGACAAAAGGATTTAAGGTGTTTGATCCAATGTCAAAGAAGTTTTATAAAAGTTGTGACGTTATGTTTCTAGAGCAGCAATTTTATAACTTTGAAAACAAACAGCGTGAGCAAAAACTCATTGAAGATGAAGAAAATCGTAATGTACATGATGTTCATGTAAATAGCAATGATGACAGCCAATCAATAGACGATCGAAATGCTGAACATGAAAACGGTAATGTTGATGCAAGAGAAGTAGATGATTGCAATCGAGTGGGAGAAAATTCTTACGAACAGAGATTCATGAATGAAGTTAGACAACTCAAAGGTGAAAGGATACGAAGAGCACCTCAAAGATTTGACGAAGAATGTTATACAGTCAGCGACTTAACTGCAGACATCAGTGAACCCAACAAATATAAAACAAGCAACAACTGGAGAACATGCGAATGAATGGAAGAACGCGATGATCTCAGAATACAATGCGTTGAAAGATAATCATACTTGGGATTTAGTACCTTTACCAGAAAACAAAGCCGTAATCGGGAGTAAATGGGTTTACAAAGTAAAAAGAAAAGCTGATGGTTCAATTGAACGATTTAAGGCAAGATTAGTTGCTCAAGGTTATGCTCAATCATATGGAGTAGATTAAAGATGTGTTTGCTGCAGTAGCAAGATATAATACCATCAGATCATTATTGTGTGGCAACCATGAAGTCATTGGGAAATACATCAAACAGATATAAAACTGCATTTCTTCAAGGAGATTTAGAAGAAGAAATCTATTTACGGCAGCCCGATGGTTTTGTTGACAAAGATCATCCTGAATATGTTTGTAAGCTTGCAAAAGTATATAACTGCGTTAAAGCAAGCTGCAAGGTGCTAGGATACCTCTATCGATAAACATTTGCTTTCAAATGGTTTCAAGAAAAGTTCAGCAGATCGCGTTTGTCATGGGCGAAAGTTTAAAACGACGGCTTTGACGGATGCAAACTTATTAATCCTAAGCGACAAGTTAAAGTAATGACGATATGCTCCATCTCAATTCCCATCATTAGTAAAATAAAAGTCAGGAATTGCAAATAGATATCCATGTTGAAGATCTATGGTGAGATTCATTATGTGCTGGGATGAGTATAAACGAAATCGAAGATTGCGAACATAACCATTAATCAGTACAAATATCTACAAGGAAACATGAAGATTCGACATGTAAAATAGAAAGCAGTCTAACACCACTTAATTTGGAAAGAAGTATGAAGTGTTAAGAAGGTGAGAATCCAGTTAATGAAGCAATATCAAATGGCAATTGGATGCTTAAACTATGCTACATTGATAAGTCGACCCGATTTAGCTGTTGCAGTTGGAACTTTATCAAAGTTTACAAAACCAGGACTAGAGCATTGTTTGAGCCAAGCTGCTGTAGAAAACGACAAAGCAAAATGCTCGACCTGAGGGATTGAGGTGAACAGAAGAATCAAGCGTGTTAAGAGAATGCCTGGAGAACTGGCAAGAGATGCAGGACTTTCATCAGAAGAAGAAATTGTGCGCATTATGAAGAATGACGAGAATTTGATCGTCTTCAACATGAGATGTCAACCCGTTTTTCACGACTAAAAGACCTGAACAATAAATTTGGATTTTGTCGGACGTTAAGACTCTTCTATCTGGCACAGATGAGGATGCAATTCGTCAAAATTGTGCAGATTTTGCAAATTTCTACAACACGGACATCAATGGCTACGAACGTTTCTTCGAAATTGGTGATTGAAGAATGCTGCTCCTTAACCGAACTGAAGCTCTACCAGAAACTCCCTTGGATCTTTTTGGTTTTATTGTGTTTTATGGAGATGACGTATTTCCGCATTTGCGAATTTCACTACAAATTTTGTTAACAATAGCAGTTTCAATTGCAAGTTTTGAGCGGTCGTAAGAAAAATTAGAAACAAAAAATTTCGATAACGTGATTGACCAGTTTGCGACAGTGAAATCAAGAAAAATAAATCATTGTAGACTATATGAATTATCTTTGACAATGACTGAATGAGTCATATGCAATAAATTGTATAGTATTGCTTCTTCATTAAATATAATGGTACATTGAAATGTGAACTTTTTTCCGTATACAGTAAGGTATACAATGTTATTGTAAATAAAATGCGATTAAACACGCAGGAGGGCGCCAGTTTTATAGTTTGCCCCGGGCGCAAAATACCTTGGCTACGCCTCTGATATACCACACACACCCAATTAACGTTCTAGTTACGTCTCTAAAAATAGACGTAGAACATCAAATGTGATTGTATAGTTATCTAGCTGTGATATCTCTATTTACTGGTGTATATCAATTTATACTAAGGGATGCAGATGGCTACATCACAAAACCTAACAGGTAACACAAAAGAAAAACGCCGGTGCACAACGCCATGCAGTCTGCACAGCGCTTTGTGATTGAAATTATAATAACTTTTATTGCAATATCAATGGTCAATAGCCAACAGTCAGTAGTAAAGGGTCAATAGTCAAATGTCCATAGCTAATAGTCAATAATCTTTAGTCAACAGTTCATAATCCACAGTCTAGTCAACACCTCCATGCCTATACGAGTCAAAGGTCTGTGACACCTGAACACCCTTTAAGCTATCCCACCAACGCTATACCAGGTAGCAATTTGTTTACCATGAGCCTACTGCAGTTTTGTCCGCCATTAGTTCACTCTTGTTTTGGATGCAGTCATACTTTAAAGCCTAATTGTATGATTGGAAATCCACCTTTCATTCTCGTTGTCGTCTCAAGAATGCAAAGAGAAAATCACACAGTTTCTGACAGCAGGAGGGAAATGTTTATTTTCACGTCAGCAAGTGTTGTATTAAAATGAGACAGCCGTATTTCAGCCCCCAAATGACTGTTAATCTGCAGTGGATACAGCAACATTTAAAAACTGAACATTTTGAATTTCTGAAAATTTTTTTCCAATCGTCTAATTTGTAAATTAGGCATGGACATAGCTCTGAAAATGGCTGATAGACAGTGATTTTGGCATTTGGATATATTGGTTGTTAATAGCATTTTTTAGTATCTTTGATATCAGTTTAGTTGTACTGCTTTAAAACTGAAAGAAAAAGAGGTAACCGAAGATTATTTGTATTACTTGACGACCGTTTAATAAATATTTATGTTACTGTTTGTATTGCAGACACATTCATTCAATTCATCCTTTATCCGCATTTTATCCCCTTATCCGCGTTTTATCCCCTCATCACCGTTTTATCCCCCCCCCCATCCGCATTTTATCCTCTCATCCGCATTTTATCCCTTGATCCGCGTTTTATCCCCTCATCCGCGTTTTATCTGCCATCCGTATCCGCAGGTTCATCCGCCATTCGTATCCGCATTTTATCCTAACCTTATAAAAACATGTGTCTTGGATGAGATTTGAATTTGAATGTATGTAATTTAATGACTAGGAGTTACTATCGCAAGGAAGTGCTGCCCTCCACCAAGTAAGGTAAAACAGTTTGGAAACTGCTATTGCGTGTTTTCCATCATTTATCATCTGCCATAAACAATACAATAATGAATGGTAAAAATAAAAATACAGCAAGAAACCGCAACAACTCGTATACTTTATCATTGCATAAAGACAAGCTAATTGTGTCATCTTTTATTTTCAAATTGTCATGTAATTCAATTTATAGAAGTAGATGCAAGAAGTAACACTGTATGTATGTATAATTATGCTAATTTCAAAATGGAATAATTGGATGAACAGTTTTCAAAGCTCATTTTACAAAATTTGCATATTGTCATTTAGAACTCGGCCAATAACAATTAAATCATGTTAACCGAGCTTAAATTTGATTTTGTAAAATATGATTCTGTAAAAGCCACATGGTTGATGTAAAAATTGTGGACATTTGAACAGATTTTAACCTTGAAAAGTTTTTTGACTTTGAAAAGACATATGGTTCCCGTTGAAAATGTTTCATATTTATCAAAAGCTTAAAGTTTTGTTTGCTTAAATATTTTAAGACAATTCACAATTCTGATTTTGTTCTTTAGGTTGAAATAAAACACGGCATGATTTCTTGTTTGATTTGTGTCACTTTCTTTTACACTGCTTTTTGTGAAGCTCATTCGCCTTATTAATTGTAACCTGAGAGATAATTTAGTCTAGAGCAAATCAATTTTTTGCAATACAACCAATACAATATGATGCATGGTTTACTCGCCGTTTAATCATGATCGTGACTAAAACACCACACGAGTACATACGAGTACATACGAGTACATACGAGTAACATACGAGTACATACGAGTAACATACGAGTACATACGAGTAACATACAAGTACATACGAGTAACATACAAGTACATACGAGTAACATACGAGTACATACGAGTGACATACGACTATTTTCTGGTCAACAAATGAGAAACAACACAATTTCTTCAATACATTGATATTTGCGTTTATTTTTCCTTGTATTTGTGTGGACTTTGGGGCAACCATTTGATGGATTTAAATGCTGAAAAGGTATTTTACTTTCATACTACATTCATTGTATGTTTTAGTTGAATTTGTTATAGATATTTTATCGATGCGATTTGCCAGTATTTGAGCGCTTTTGAAGCACTTTCACCTAGGAAATACATATTTATGAAAGCGATTATACATTCATTTTGACTCTGAAGATGACTACCGCTAAGGTTGTCGAAACGTCAGTCAACAACAACAAAACAGTCCGTCTCAGGACTATACGTAACAGTGCAACTCTCATTTAATTCAAATATATATAATGTACATTTATTTCATGTAGCACGTTTTGAAAGCATTATTTATACGTTGTTTATTTAATCGCTTTCATAAATATGTATTTCCTAGGTGAAAGTGTTTCAAAAAGCGCTCAAATACTGGCAAATCACATCGATAAAATATCTATAACAAATTCAACTAAAACATACAAATGAATGTAGTATAAAAGTAAAATACCTTTTCAGCATTTAAATCCATCAAATGGTTGCCCCAAAGTCCACACAAATACAAGGAAAAATAAACGCAAATATCAATGTATTGAAGAAATTGTGTTGTTTCTCATTTGTTGACCAGAAAATAGTCGTATGTCACTGTATGTACTCGTATGTTACTGTATGTACTTGTATGTTACTCGTATGTACTCGTATGTCACTCGTATGTACTCGTATGTTACTCGTATGTACTCGTATGTACTCGTGTGGTGTTTTAGTCACGATCGTTTAATCATAGCATTCCAATTTCTATCCAATCGGCATGCACAAACGGACGCACAGTTCACCTTATATGGAGGTGAGTGCTTCAATGCTCAATCGATCTCGTCAGTCATACGTTTTCATCATAAAATTAAAAGATAAATTCCTTGCCATTTTGAATGAAAACATTTTTTTGATTCTTTTAAATGTCTTGATTGTTTTGATTCTTTTGAGTTTTTAAAATGCTTTTTGATTAAAAGTATGATACGTTGTTTACTCCACCGAACAATCGTCCGCATGTTTACAAACGTAGAAACGGACTATATTATAAAACTGTAGTTTTGTTTCCATTATTTCCTTTATAACATTTTGATAGAACCTTTTTTCCGATGATTCTGTGCGACTTCGATAAAATGATGTATAGTTATCGCAAAGAGCAAACGTTTCATCATATTCATAATTCATATTTCATGGTTGAACTCGCACCATGCGTTTAAATTATTTTTGACGTTTTGTTAAATCCACACCGATATTTCAAGTAATAATAAAAGCTCGAACGAAAATAAATACATGCTTACACTATATTTTCCTCACCGTCTGACCATAGAGCGCAAGATAAAAAATGTGAACCGAGCTGGCTAAATACGGCACGGTGAATCGATTTCATGTGTTTTTCGCCAAACGAGATATGTGTAACTGATGTCGGTAATCACTCGATTTTGGTATCTACTGTATAACGTTGTTTAGGCCGCATATCTATTCGGATTCCAGACATTTAAAATCAAAGAGAAACTGACAGGAGTTCCGAAAGGTTCTACCTTATTGTGATTGTTCTTCCCCCCTCATTCCGTAAAATTCCCCCCCGGAAATGTTAACAGACAGACACAAATCGAGATTTTACCTCTATATAGGTCGAGTAGAGGAATGGGCCGAGACATGTCAAGATATGACGCTGATGCGTGGCAGCAACTATTTTGGGAGTTACTTATGTGTAAACTTGATAACATTTTTATAGTTCCTATAGTTTTCCGTGATAGTAAAACCATATTTTTAAAACAAATACATTTTATTCTTTGCAATTTGTGCTTTTCACTTTACTTTTCAAGATTGTCGTATAGACATTTTAGAGTTGTGAAAGTTTATGATATTGGATAACGTATTTTTGTTCTATACGTATTTGCTATAAAATACTTCATTCAAATCACCTTGAAGAGTATTGTGATTGTAAAACCTCTCATGCATTAGGAAATAAAACACTCAGCTCATCAAGAAAAAGCTTTCCAATCGTGAGAAAGTGTAAGTTATAATCTATCCAGTTTGCAGACTATAAATAGGTAAACTGAGGCGGTAATGTTGATTCGATGCGTCGAAGTAGAAGTAGTAGATCAAGTTTGGATGTTTTGGTAGAGTGCGGTGTAACACTAAAATAATTCGACAGTTGCATGTTCACATCATTATTCCTTTCTGCTATTTCCTAATATTTATTTTATTACTTGATTAAAGTTATCATTTTTAGCTTTCGATTTTGTATAGTTTAATAGTCTTAAATAGTAAATATTTTTGTTAGCTAATTTCAACACGTTTATTGAAATTTTACAAGCAACGACCCGATATTAATGATAATTTATTGTGGAAGCTACTTTTTTCTCCACCCCCCACATGTCTTCAGATATCTATCTAATTTTTCAGCATACACACCATTTAAATGCTTCTTAATGCATAGTACGCATAATGCTAATTGATGAGCGCTATGTAGTTGTATTTTACATTTTAAAATTTAGAAACGGCTTGTGTGATGAAGAGGCAATCTTTCCGTCAACATATGCTTTGTTTTGCCTGACTGAGAGATATCCGAGTTTATTGACGATCTTTGAGTAAGCTTAAATGATGTGTTAGCTGTTGTTTTTGGGATATGGACGTTTTTACCTCGAATCTTTCCAAGGAATGCTAAAAATGTGCGTCTATAGTCTGTTAATCTTAACGAGTACAAGATGGGATTCGCGACAAAATTCATTAGTAAAAGCGGATAAAGCAAATAAGAAAGATTGATATTGTCGTAGTGTCCTGGAAACGTGGTAATAAAGAAAATTGCGGTTAGAAGGACCACAGTTTTCGCCATATTTCTGTGTTTGTTATTGTGTCTGCAATCATCTTTTGTGTTTCGGCCGCTGCGAATAATCTGAGTGGTAACTTGATGTTCAAGATAAGCTGAACGAGTGTGAGGAAATGCAGAAAAGCAATGCGCGCCACCCAAAACTTTCTGAAGTGTTTATCGAAGGGCGGAAATCTGTGTATTATATAACAAAAACCAACAGGGATCGAGAGCAACCATACCCCGATACAGGATGACAGAACGTTGGGTGTTGTAAACATAAAACGACTTTTTAGTGGGTGTTTTGTAAGCACAAAGATCTGCATAGAAAAGAAAGTCAGGAATAAGAAAGATGCACCAATACTGAATGAACAACCAAATTGAACAATGTTCTCGTAAAGTATTCTCTCGCTGCATGTAAAATTGATGATGTTGAACTCGTAGTAATCCAGCCATTGGAAAAAACAAGTAACGCACGAAAGAAAATCAGCGATAGCCAGGTTTAAGATTGTTATCCACGGTCCTTTGCGCAAGATCCTTAATGGGTCAAATACTATAGCAAGAGTAACCGCTAAGTTAAGGAGAGCTCCGATCACGGCAACCGAGATAATAATGATGACCAGATTCTTTCGTTGTTGTCTTGATAGAAGAAAACCGCCCTTTAGAAAACAAAAATAACAATGAATGTGTTGTTGCGTAATGTATTCCTAAAACCAATCAATTTCTTTCTTACATAGCGATTCAGTAATCAGCTTCACCATGTCACGTACAGTGGAAAATGAAATGCATCCCATTGAAGTTGAGCGTTCAACAGAAATATTTTTCACTTTCGTTATGACGTTCCATGGACATATAGCGGTATGTTGCTAAGTATGCAACATAACATTTCTGTCAATATACCTAAGGGGAAATTTCGTGCTAATCAAATATCTCTAAATCAATATAAATCAAAGTTGCCTATATTTACTAGTCTACATGTTCTTTTGCAAATTGTGACATAATCGTCATTTGTACTTTAAAAAACCAGGAAATTTGAAGTATGTTTTTTCAGCTAATTATAGTTATGTAATTTATATTTGTTTTAACATAACACATTAGACGAAATTGTACGGATGTTTTCGTTATGCTTTTTTTGCAAAGGCATTTTTAAATTTATATGTTTTCTATTTTAAATATTTAGCCTTCTGAGTAAAGTTTGTGTCACAAGCAGTAGGCTGCTTACTATTGGTGGTGTGCAATCATCTTGATTTTTTAAAGAAATGTAACACTTAAATTATTTCTCTTATGAAGCAAAGGGAGTCATCTTTTGCCTTTTCTTGTTAATTATACCCTGCATTTATCAAAGTATTTACAGTGTGTATGTACAAAGTTCTGTAAGCATTTCTCGGGCTAAGTGTTTACATGTTTTGTAAGTAAATTTATAATTGCTTTAACCAATACATTATGAACTGCATTGCTGGATGCAGTTGTCGATGTGCCTCTGCATGGAAAATGGTCTACTTCTAGAAGAACATGGTGAATCTTAGAGGTTGTGGAGGGTTTTTGCGGTCCAAAACCTCAATAAAAGCAAGGTCTCTATCTGATAAACTGCTTCTATTATCTATTCAATGTGGTGATTGTACGGTTTGACGAGTTTGTGTAGCAATACTGCTTCCAAATTTTCGTATTTTATCAATAATAATTTTTTCAATTTTATCAATAATAATTTAATAAAGTATTTTATCAATCGTATTTTATCAAATTTTCGTAATTCATCTTAATTCTGATGATGACGCTCTTTCCAAAACGCTGTTGTTAGTTTATTCCGCAGAACTAAAAATTATTCAGCCATGGAAAAGTAAAAATGCAACCTGACGCACTTTCACATGATGAGAATAAAATGTGAAAACAAGACGTATTGTTTTATTATTGATGAAGGATATTCAGTCCAAACATCCCTAATGAATATATTGCTGAGCGATATTTTAAAGTAAGTATCCCCCATCCCTATAATTGAAGGAGATACGTCAGTAAACGTCGCAGTGATAACAAAAGATCACAAGGCAACCATGTTATCATATTAGTTATACAGTTAATGTAGTCAATTTGATTCCCTGAAATGTATAGCTAATTGTACCCTGCTCATTCACATTCGTTAGTTGTCATGAATGTCGCTGCAAACAACTTTAGTGTCAGTTATAAAAAATATTAAATGTTTTCGTTTGAGTCTCTTTCTTTCTCGTTATTTAATTTAAACAAAAGAAGTTGAAAATTTAAGCTACTTTTAACACATAACTAAAGTGCAAAAAATTAGATAAAGCCCGATAAAATGGAACTATATCTATTCAATTTAACTCATATTAATGAAAAATAATATATTTAAGTATTGCATTTACACTCGGAGAAATACACCATGAGGTTATACTAGCCACTTTTATGGATATATATATTTTGATACACGTATATATTTTGTCGAGTTAGCGAGGTTTCTTTTGTGTTTGAAAAGTGATTGTCCAAAAACTCTGGTAATGGATACGCAGATGTATATCACAACTGCATGGGCTAAATTACCTCCACGCGAGATTTGTTTATTGACTAAAATATTTTATCAAAAACTCGTTGTTTTTGCTAATCTGCCCAATACTTTAATTTTTTCTACATATTTTCATGCGCGCTTACCTTTGATGTCGTTGATGTGTTTGTTCCATTTGCCAAATCACTGTTATTCTTGTGTGTTGGGAATTTTGAATTAGTAGCGTTTGTCGGCATACTGCTTCCGCTTAATAAGGTAACTCCAATAAACAACAGAACAAGGTTCAATGATTTCATTTTTATTTACCCAATAGTATTTTTTTGGTACACCTTAAACGATAATTTGAGATCGGAATTCTTTCTCATTCTATAGTACATCTATTTTGGCACGCGTTCCTTTCGTCTTCGAGCTTAAAACACGCAGGTTACTCATGACGTATGCCGTATGAACAGCCAATGAGAAGCGGAATTACTAAACCTCTTATGTTGTCGTAAAATGATGTTAAAACTGCTGACATTAATCTAGCAATGGCATGTGTTGATTGCTATTAAGATAAAAAACACATGTATACTGCTGTTTTTTATTTTGATTGCGGGAATTTCGCCAAGAATTAGCATTATTTAAAAACCAGTATTTACCAGTAGCGTTGCATGTATTCTTTATCTTCCTGATTCATTAAAGTTCGCCTTTTGATTATTATTTGTACACAGAATGAATTTTTTCGCGACATACCTACTTTAAGATTCTCATAAATGAATTGCAAAACGTATTGATTACACAACCTTGATTGTTTATATTGCAAATATCCTTTAAAAGTCTCAACAGTCATGATTTCTAATCCCGTGATCGAATGTAAAGAAATCTCAATGAGCTCGAGACCGCAAATAAATATTGTTTGTAAGGTTCAACGCATTTTTTCCATGTATTAATGTTTTGCATATAACAGATGGCTTTACGAGTGTTCGGAAAGAGCCATATTTTTCTACATATTTAAATGTTGAAATGATGATTTTGTTAAGGTTTTAAGATTTTTCCAAGCTTTTGTACATTGAGATTATCAATAAGCACAAATATTCCTTTATCATAATGCCCAGTTTGAAAAACACTGCCTGGCATTGATTCAATCAAAACGTTTTATGTACGTGCACACATAAATCAGGATTTCGTGAGAGTTTATTGTTTAATGGCAGACGTTAACAAACTGTCCATGAAAACACAGTCCTTTAGTTGACTTATCTTGATCACAACGGGAATGATGTCTGAAAGTCACGATCTAAATCTATCTGTAATACCCCCATTGATATTTTTGTTGACGTTGCATAATATATGCGGTCTCGTTTCATTTAAGATGTGCACGTTTTCTATTCACACAAAATTTGCTCTTAATTATGTGAATGTGAGGCTGGTGTTTGGTCAAAGTGGAGCAATGAAAATGTTGCTTCATATTTACCCGTTCGAAATGTTGGGATTTAAGGGTTAGTGCAAGTTTGTGGTTTGACGTGCATGGCAAGTAAAAACTCTCATGCATTAGGAAATAAAACACTCAGTTTATCAAAAAAGGCTTTCCAGTCGTGAGAAAGTGTAAGTTATAATGTATCCAGTTTGCAGACTATAAACAGGTAAACACAAGCTGTAATGTTGATCCAATGCGTCGAAGTAGAAGTAGTAGATCAAGTTTGGATGTTTTGTAGAGTGCGGTGTACCACTAAAATAATTCGACAGTTGCATGTTCACAAACTAAAGAAAAATATCGTGTATAAAATACTTCTCTCATAAAGGAAGCATAATAAACTATAAATCAATAATTAAAATTCAAAAGATTTTGTTCGTTGAGAGATCATTATTGTTTTATAGATTTGAAATTATAAACTCTATATGTATAAATTATAACACACGTAACTACTATAAATAGAACTTATATTTATACTTGTTACACGAATAACGACTATATATTACCCCGACATGCATAACCTACTCATGCATTTTAGAAGCATTTAATCAAAGCCTTTCACTACACGTTGTTAAAAATATGAGAAGTTCATAAAACACGACGTAAGAAAACGACGTTTGAAGATTAATGTTGGCATCATTGAACGAACAACATATAATTAAAATTTTTAAAGATCTTGTATTAACGTCATATAATTCTTTTGATATGCTACCAGCCGTTCGCTAACCTTACCCCCTACCTTTTTTGTGCATAAAATTAGATTGATTGTTTGTAATAATAATTTCTATTGCCCTTATTAATAAATAAAACAGACGACACTGCTGTTAGCTAATTAACGCGACAATTACATACCGTGAAATGAGCTTATTTAGCTCAACGTGCAATCTGATCAGCAACGAAGTTTCTACTATCTGAAAAAATGTAACACATTTTATAAAACATCGTATACAGAGACTTTTGAAAATGTGCAAAAGGATGTTTTTGTCGGAACCTGAAAAAAAGAATCATGTTAACACATAGCTACTAATGCAGTTAAATATTTAGCTTTCTAAGTTAATTATTTAGCTTTCTAAGTTAGTTAGTTTTTTAAGTTAAATAAGCTTTTAAAATGCTATTTAAATATTGGGGAGGAGGGAGTGATTAAATGTTCTTTCGTGCACTGTATAATTCATCCTGGTAAGTGGTAACTATACAACGATTTTTAAAAGTAGGTTTAATTTGGATGAAAAAAAACTCTTAACGAAAGTTTCATATTGGTCTTCATTATTTGAGAAAACATTTTTTTTGAGTTTATTGAAAATTTGTCATCATTTGACATGCATCTGTTTTCTTCAATATTTAGTTCAATATTGAGTATTTTTTCCTTTTGCACTTTAAATTGTTCGCTCGTAGTGGATACTTAAATCCTTTTGAACCTTTCTCTTCATTCAATTATATTCAAAAATGTGTTTGGTTATGTTTTGAAACATCCCAAGATCCGTGTAGTCCAATTACGTGCTGCTTCTAAATTAGCGTTCATTTACGTTATTTGAAAAGGCTGTTAAAGATATCTAGGCTCTTGTGGTTATCCAGCTGACTCAAAAGAAAGTTGTGAAAGGGAATAGTCAATCTTTAAAAATTTGAAACAGCCATGCCAGGCAGAAACACCTTTTGAAAACCATCTGTTAAGAAATAGCAGTTAAATACCACCTTTTGCGTTCTTTTTGTTGCTTTACTTGATTTTAAATTTTTCTCCGCGTTAGCGCGATCTTGGCACTTATAGCTACCAAGGAAATATTTTTTTAGAAATATAAAGTGAAAGAATTTTCTATATTGTACTTTTCTTGTCTTTCATTAATCTTTGAAAACTGCATAGTTCTAAATTTAGGAAATATTATTGGAATCAATAATGAACTCGACATTTTAGGAAAGAGATACGAGACTAATAATGATGAATTTCAAATAAATTCGAAATGTAACTTTTTAAAACTTTTCTCGTCTTTGCATGTTTTTCTTAGCTATTGAGTTCAATATTGACCTGGTCTTCGCTGTGTGTTTCCTTTTACTCCAATGAATTGTTCTTTTAAGAATCGTTGTAGCATAGCAGGATAAACTGTAGAGTGCTGAATGCATAAAGAACTGTTAATAACTCCCAGTAATTTGAAAACGTATTTGACTTGGACAAGTAATTAATTTGAAGATGCAAATGAAATCACTGAAGCCAATGGGTCGGAGAAAGCTTAGTTGGAGCATGCATGCACACGAAACGTTGTATGATCCGTGCAGTCCAAAACAGGCTGTTTTGAATTGGCGTCCTTTCATATTTGTTTTTTGGTTGCACTTTAGAATGACTGTTGTGACCAACCAGCTCACTTGTATAATAGCATTTAATAAATAAACCACCCATCTCCATGGGCACAAAAGGGCTTCCTAAAAAAAAAGTTATGGAGAAAACCACATGCGAAAACCATTAGTGATATAGTAATCTTGTAAATGTTTTCTTAGTACTACGACGTTTCACCTGTCCAAGGAAAACATTTTAATTGAGAAATGCGAGGAACGTTGAAAAACGGCGATAAGAAGTGTATGAGTGTGTAGATTAAAATATGGACATGATTCAATGAAGAGACATGAGATATAAGTCTGGAGAAGGATAACAAAATAAGATGGATATATAAAAAAAGAGCAACAAATGTGTTGCGACAATAGTATGGCAGGAAGGAAGACGTGAAATAAACAAAAAATCAAAGAAACCGTTTGAAATTCAAAACATGTTATTTAATACGAAAACACCCAGAGGTAAAATACACTGGGGATGACGAGTCAAGTCATGAAGAGGAAACCAGAAAACACAGAGGAAGAAATTGATAAAAATACATACATGTTGAGAAAACAAACGACTCGAGAGAACTTGGTAAAAAGGATGAAATAACGATATGATCATGAGTGCAACTAAACCATTTATTAAGACACTTTGCGTTTAAATGACACGTTTCAACTGGTTAAATATCAAGCTAAGTACTTTTTTGTGAAATAGTTTGTGTCAAGGTGGGCAATATAGTCGACCACAGTCTCCTCTTCGTCGGGGACTTTTCTTTTCCCATTTTTTAAAGTCATCGATTGACGTCTTTCTCTTGTCTGTTTTTTCAAAACCTCTCATTGCATTGTTTTCGTTTTCTTCATCCTCAACACTCCAGAACCATTTTGGTTTGGCCAAACTCGTGGCAACATTCAAAATGAGGATCAAAAGAAGAACACTCACGCTCTTATTCAACACCATGATTCTTCACAGACTCTTGAAATACTTCTTATTACGCACAAGAACATGTGATACAAAAAAGCTATGATCACCATTTTATAGCAAGAGGTTCTGCAGGTGGTTTTCTCAAATTACATGCACACAAGCAAACACTAAAGGACTCTAGTTTAGAAACAGCATGGTATTGGACAACACGGACAATTAAACGCTTTGTATGCATATGGATGCTGTCAAAACAAAATAACCTTTTTCAAACCCTTGCTTCATTTCAGTGTTGTCATTAATTAGTTTTTTAAGTTAAATATTTAGCTTTCTAAGTTAATTATTTAGCTTTCTAAGTTAATTAGTTTTTTAAGTTAAATAAGCTTTTAAAATGCTGTTTAAATATTGGGGAGGAGGGAGTGATTAAATGTTCTTTCACGTACTGTATAATTCATCCTGGTAAGTGGTAACTATACAACGATTTTTAAAAGTAGGTTTAATTTGGATGAAAAAAAACTCTTAACGAAAGTTTCATATTGGTCTTCATTATTTGAGAAAACATTTTTTTTGAGTTTATTGCAAATTCGTCATCTTTTGACACGCATCTGTTTTCTTAAATATTTAGTTCAATATTGAGTAATTTTTCCTTTTGCAATTGAAATTGTTCGCT